AAACAAATAGAACAATTCTACAGCTAAGACTGAAAAAAAAAGGAAAAAAAGCTTGTCTTGATGGCTGAAAAATGCTGCAAAATGGGATTTTAATGTGAAGATGCTCATGAGAAATGTTACTATAAGACAAAATAACTATCCTGAGGAATGTGAACCAGCAAAGAAACACAGAGAGCTCTGCCTGGGAGCTGCAGGAGGATGCTCAGGAATGAAAATACAAACTTGATCCAAACACAGCACCCAACTCCTGTACTACAGAACCTCTCAATTTGTACAAAAACAGCAGAAATCACCTGCATGGGGGATTAGGATGTCTTTGAAAACAGCTTTTCCCTTTTTCTCCCCTCTTCTCCTAAAAAAAAAAAAAAAAATCTCAAAATTAAATTTTCCCTTTACTTTCCAGCAGAAATAATTCCTCTCACAAACCTGAACCTGGCCCACATCACTGCCAGCCCCACAGGTGTTTTAGGATGGGCAATTCCTGCCTTTCCATAGGCATCAGCAAGGAAAACATAAAATAGAACAAGCCTGCTGGGATGGGTTTGACAAGGCTGCCCTCTGCTGAGAACAGCCCTGAGAGGAACAGGCAAAAAAAAAAAAAAAAAAAAAAAAAAAAAATACAAATCAGAGAAGCAAAGGCAACAAAATATTTGATCTGGGAGTTCCAGAATTCCGGGTGTTTTAACTGGACACCGCATCTCAGATTTTTGCACAGCAGCCTCTTGGGTGAGGTTTGGTGGTTTGTTTTGTTATGGTTTCAGCATCCCAATGAAGTGCAGGCAGCATTTTAACAGAGTTCCAGAGCCAATATTGAAATTGCAAGTGTGATTCCCTGCATTTTGCAATGTTTAATGTTTATTTCTAATGATTGCAATCACAGAGGAGAAAGCCCAGCCACTCCCCTGGACTCAACATCAAAATATTTCACAAGGCACTGCTCACAAAAGGGCTCCAAACCTGTAGGATGTCCAAACGCTACCTAAAACGTTAAAAAAACAGAATCCCGAGGAGTTCAGCAGCTGTCCCTTCCAGGGAGACAGACAGGCCACACATGGGAGTCCTCCTCTTGTGCACAGCGTGGCATTTTGCCCAGAAACCTGAGATCCTCACCCAAAGCAGGTGCCACAGCCTGCAGCCAAACCCAGCCAGGCTGCCCTGACACTTGACACTGACTTTTCCCATCAAGCTCCCCCAAAACTCCTGAGCAGCAAAACTGGACCCAACAGCAGGCTCAGACTTTACTCCTGGAGGTGGTGTGGAAATACATCCAGCTCACTGCACGGCTGAAGCAACCCAGGGCTGCATCCAGAGCTCCCTGCTGCAAAAAGTGGGGTGGAGAGGGAGGGATTTTATAGAATCCATAGGTTTGGTTGTGTTATGTTTGCCCAATTATCCAAATATTGATTACTGTTTCAATTTTATCAGCACGAATCACACCTATTTATCACAGCTGGAAGGCAGCTTAAAGAGCATCTTGTTTCAGCTCTCTGCCATGGGCAGGAATGCTTTCCACTGTCCCAGGCTGCTCCAAGCCCTGTCCAAGCTGGCCTTGGACACTTCCAGCTTCTCTGGTCATCTTCACGCCTGGTGGGAGAGTGCTGGGGAAGGGTCTCTGCCTTTCCTGCACCAAATACGGACAAAATCCTGGCCTCGGGGCCCTGTGCTCAGCACCCTCTGGAGCAGCGGGGCTGCAGAGCACTGGGAGCTGCCTGGGGATTATCGGGGGCCGGCAGGGCCTCACGCTGCACTTGGGATGAGAAGAGCTTGTGTCACACCCGGTGTTGCCGTGTGCTCCAGCGGGTGTTGGACGGTACAAGATGGAGCAATTTGGGATTCAAACCTGGCGCGATCGGTGAGGGACCACGGCAGGAGCTTCTCCTCCAGCTCCTCCCCAGGGAAACTCACTCGTCCCTTCCTTTCAGAGTCCAAAGACAAAAATATTTGTGTCTCCAGGAGTGAGCCCTGACAGGCCGCTTAGGGAAAACGTTTCGGCACCCACCGAGGTTGTCTTGGCAATATTTCTGGTTTTATTCTACACAGAAACCTCTGCATGGACCATCCCCGTCCTTAGAACCCCCAGGAGGGAGTCAGTCCAGGAAAGCCCCGGGCAGAGGGTGGGCACTGGGGGCTGTGAGGCCCCGGCGCCCCACACATCAGCTTGTGTGTTATAAAACGAGTTTTCATTAACCTCAATTCCGAATTTAACCAAGAACCACTGATTATTAATCCAGTCTACTTAACGATGGGTCTAATGTGAAATCACCGGGTTTAATTATTTATTCTGGCGGTTCTGCGGAGTTGCTGGGGCTGTCTGTGACACGACAGGGCGGATTAAGCACTGACCATCCCCACCCACTCACACACCACCCTCACCCGCCCCGCGCACCCTCACAGCCCGCTCTGAGGGCAGCGCAGCGCCCGCGCCTCAACGGCGGGGAGGGGGCGGGACTAGGCGGATCGACAGGCGCTTCAACCAATGGAAGCGCGGCTAGCGCGCCAGCACACCAATGAGAAGCGGGACGCCTCGGCGGCGGGAGCTCCCGAGATGAGCGACAGGCATATTAACCAATAAAAATGCGGCAGCGCTCCGCCGGGCCAATGGGCGAGCCCGGAGTGTTCTAGAAGGGGCGGGCGGGAGGCGGGGCCGAGGTGCCGCGCCCCGCCCGGCGCGGCCCAGAGCGGAGCGCAGTCATGGCGGTGAAGGCGCTCAACCCCAAGGCCGAGGTGGCCCGTGCCCAGGCCGCGCTGGCCGTCAACATCAGCGCGGCCCGCGGGCTGCAGGACGTGCTGAGGACCAACCTGGGGCCCAAGGGCACCATGAAGATGTGAGGGAGCCCCCGCGCCTCTCGCCGCGGGTGGGGTTGGGGGGGAGCAAGGCCTGAGGGGAGGCGTGAGGGGAAGCGGCGGGGGCCGGGATGCGCGGAGGGGAACAAAGGCGGGAGGGGTGAGAGGCTGAGGGATGGAGGGATGGGGAGGGAGCGGTGCGGCCCCGCACGTGTTTTGGGGCCGGATGGATGGATGGATGGATGGGGAAGGAGCGGCGCGGCCTCACACGTGTGTTGGGCCCGGGGCGCTGCTCACCCGCCCCGTGCCGCCCGCAGGCTCGTGTCGGGCTCCGGAGACATCAAGCTGACCAAAGATGGCAACGTGCTGCTGCAGGAAATGGTGAGCTGGGGCTGGACCTCGCAGCGGGCTTTAGGGAGGGACGAGCGCCTTTGGGTGAGGGGGAATCGCGTCCCCCCTGCCCCAACCGCCCTTATCCATTGAAGCAAAATGGGCCTTGGGAGGAGGGTAAAGAAATAGGTGTAGGTTAAGGCAATACTGTAAAGCAAATAATGTTAAAAGTATAAACGGCACCATGAGAATGAGTAAAATCATCAGCCAAAGGAGTAGCAAACCAGTTAGGGTAAACCATTAGAACATCACCTTCAGTTCTTTCTTAGCTGATCTCGGATTTTTGTTTGCTGTACCACCCAGGTGAAACTTAACTGCTCAGCTTCTTATTTTTGTCTAGCAAATCCAACACCCCACGGCCTCCTTGATAGCAAAAGTAGCAACAGCACAAGATGACATCACTGGAGATGGCACCACCTCGAATGTCCTGATCATTGGAGAGCTGCTGAAGCAGGCAGATCTTTACATTTCTGAGGTGTGTATGCAGTGTTTCATTTGTAGGTGAGCAAGTTAAAACCTTCAGTGGGACCCCTCAGTGGGGTTTTTTTGTTAAATGTTTAACAGGAGTGGATCATAAACACATTGTTCTGCTTAAAATGAGAGGTTGTAAAAAGGGGGTGAAAGCTAGAGGAGAGGACTTAAACCCTGTTCAAAATCAAACCCACTTATTATGGATACTGTAGCTTTTAAGGTTTTGTGTGATACCTGCTGTTACTTTGTTTTGTGTGAGTCAAAACACTTCTGGAGTGTTGGAAAGGAGCTCCTCCCTGAGGGCAGGTAAATGTGGCTATTGCACAGCGAACACCCAAGTGTGCTTTGTAGTTCCCTTGGTTTGAGTTCTGTGCTAAATTAATCTGTACTTTTCCTCTGCATTGGAAGGATTTGCATTCCTTTTATATGTATTCAGAAGGACAGAACACATGGCCTGGGTAGCATATTCCCTGTGTTTTGCAATTCCTTGGAATGCTGAAACCACAGGTTCTGTTGGTGGAAGAAGAACCGTCTTGCCTTCCATTGTCCAATGATCTCTCTTCCCTTGCCTCAGGGTTTGCACCCTAGAATAGTAGCAGAAGGATTTGAGATTGCCAAGGAAAAAGCACTTGAGGTTTTGGAGCAGGTCAAAGTGTCCAAGGAGATGGACAGGGAGACCCTCATCGATGTTGCCAGGACATCCCTCAGGACTAAAGTCCACGCTGAGCTTGCTGACATCCTGACAGAGGTGAGTGTCCCTGCCACCTCTGCCTCTGTGTGTGGAGAGATCCAGCTCTGAAAGCGCTGGGACTATAACTGGAAGTGTGAAAGATGTGAGCTTGCACTTTGGGAGGCTGATGGTCATTTTGGGGTGTTTCCCTCCCCTGTGTTGCAGGCTGTGGTAGATTCTGTCCTGACAGTCAGGAAACCAGGGGAGCCCATTGACCTGTACATGGTGGAGATCATGGAGATGAAGCACAAATCAGAGACAGACACAGCGTAAGTCAGGAGGATCCTTGGGCTTCAGTGTCATGGGGCCATGAGCTTTGAGGAGCCTGGGGGGTTTTGGTTTCTCTTTAGGGTGTCCTAAAGCTACCACTGGCAGAGTTAAAATACAGATTTAACCCATAAATATCTTGGCAGAAGTTTCTCACTCACTGAATTGATTCCTTGATTAAATTATCAAATAGCAAAGAGCAACACTGGCTTAACAATATTGTATAAATACTCTTTTTTCTTAGTGTCTGTGGCTTGATGATGCTTTAGGTTTGCTTCGGTTAAATACAAAGCAGCATTTGATAAATGGAAACTGGGTTGTGGATTGGATATTCCACAGGATTTCCATTTCCCTCAGTGCATGGATGAATTCTGCACAGCTTTCCTCAGTAGCTGGTGCAGTCAGACACCATGCCAGAGCAAATTCCTTTTTTTCCACCATGCCTGGTGTGCTTTTTTGTGGGAATGAGCATGCCCCTGGAATGGGAACACATCACCTTTGCTCACTGCCAGCACAAGTGCCCAGGCAGTTTGGCTTTGAGCAGTTCCTCTCTCTGCACTCCATGAAATCCTGAATTTGTGTCCATGGACACCCAGAATGGTTTTTAATCTTGCAGGCTCATCAGGGGGCTGGTGCTGGATCATGGAGCTCGCCACCCTGACATGAAGAAACGAGTGGAAGATGCTTTTATTCTTACCTGCAATGTGTCTCTGGAGTATGAGAAAACGTGAGTACATAGCAAGTGCTCATGTCCTGAGAACTTTTATTTAAAGTGTGCTTAAATACCAACCAAGACTGAAGGGGAAAAGTGATGCCCCTTCTGCAGCTCTTTGGGGAGAGGTGAATAAATCACTGTGAGAGGCAGAGCTTCACAGTGGTTTTTGTTTTGTTGTGTGATCACAGAAAGGTTGGAAGTCTTTCCTTTCTTGGCCACAATTTGATATTCTAGGGCAAACACATCAATACACTTCAGAGTTCTCTCAGTTTCAAGTGTCTGCCTTAATTTTTGAAGTGGAGAAGCTCTGAACCAGAGAGCAGGAGCAGCAGTGTGGGTTGGAGGGGCTGGTTTGTTCTGAGTTGATTTCTTTAGAGTGTTACTGAAAGGCTCATTCCTTATGCTCAAGTTTATTTCTACAGCAGAGAGGAAGTTTTCTCACTGCTTTTTTGTGGGAATTTTTTTCCCCTTCAGAGAGGTGAGCTCTGGATTCTTCTACAAAAGTGCTGAGGAGAGGGAGAAGTTGGTGAAAGCAGAAAGAAAGTTCATTGAAGACAGAGTCAACAAAATCATAGAGTTGAAAAGAAAAGTCTGTGGCGACTCAGACAAAGGATTTGTTGTGATCAACCAGAAGGTGAGATGAAGAGAATAACTAAAAATTATTTGAAATGCCAGAATTAGCTAAATTTAGGCTGATACTTTTGAATATAATGTACAGTTCCTACATGAGATCTTTGAGCTTAAGGAAGATCTTGTAAGTGTCAGAGTGAGAGGAGGTGTTTTTAGCTTTGTCCTTATGCTGATGGTCACTTTCTGTTTGCAGGGAATTGACCCCTTTTCCTTGGATGCCCTTGCCAAAGAAGGAATAGTTGCTTTGAGGAGAGCTAAAAGGAGGAACATGGAAAGGTCAGTTTTGAGGAGAGGAGAGGATACAATAATCTGCTCCTCCAAACTGAGACAGTCAGTCAAGTCTGGCTTAAATCCATCTTTAAAGGCTTGACTAAAAATTCCACGTCAATCTGTGCAGCTCTTCTGGTGTAACTCAGGGCAGTTTGAGCTCTCAGGATGCTTTAAATGCAGACACCTGCAGAGGAGCCTTAATTCTACAAGTTAGTTTTTTAAAGAGCTCTTCCATGAGCAAAACCAAACTGTTGCAAGCCTAGGGTCTGCAGGCTGAAATACTGCAGTGATTTTGGGTTTTATTGAACATAAAGCTGAGTTCTGCCTGTTCTCTGTCAGACTGACCTTGGCCTGTGGTGGCACTGCCATGAATTCTGTGGAGGATCTCACTCCTGACTGCCTGGGACACGCAGGGCTTGTCTACGAGTACACCCTGGTGAGTGACCAAGTGTTTGAAAGGTAAAGCTGGAGTACTGAAATAAAATACATTAAATCCACTTGGATGTGGACATCTGCCTGGATGTTTGCTCCTGTCATAGACTGAGAAAACAGAAATAGAGTTCTGCTGCTTCTCATCACTTCTTGAAGTGCTGTCAGTACAGAATCCAGCCTGAAAGCACCCAGTTTGTTAATTTGTGTCCACGTTGCTGAGGCAAGTGGCTGACAGGCAAACCTGACTGTTTTCCACAGGGGGAGGAGAAGTACACCTTCATTGAGAAGTGTGAGAACCCCCGCTCGGTGACCCTGCTCATCAGGGGCCCCAACAAGCACACGCTGACCCAGATCAAGGATGCAGTGAGGGATGGGCTGCGGGCTGTGAAAAATGCCATTGAGGATGGTGAGTGCCCTCCCTGTTCATCATCATAAGGATCTATAGAAACTCATCCTAAAATTAGGGAATTATGTATCAGCTCCCTTGGTTCCTGCTTCAGTCCAAGCCTGAGCTCAGGGAGAGGTGATTTTATAGTTCTGTGTTGATTGCTCACCTGTTCAGGTGCAGGATATGGAGGGAAGAGCTCAAACTGCACTAGAAATGAGCTGTTTCAACTGAAAGAGGTGCTTTTCCCTTGCAGGATGTGTGGTGCCAGGAGCAGGGGCACTGGAGGTGGCAGTAGCCAATGCTCTTGTGAAACACAAGCCCAGCGTGAAAGGAAGAGCCCAGCTCGGAGTTCAGGCTTTTGCTGATGCTCTGCTCATCATCCCTAAGGTAAAATGAGTTCCTGGGTGATAAAGTGGCTTTAAAGCACGCACAGCCTCAGTGCTTTTTCTGCTGGAGGGCTCTGTAATCACAAACATGAAACCAATCCCTTTTTTTCTGTGCCAGGTGCTTGCTCAGAACTCAGGATATGATCCCCAGGAGACGCTGGTGAAGGTGCAGGCAGAGCACATGGAGTCGGGGCAGCTCACTGGGGTTGATCTCAACACTGGTAAGGACTCCCTCAGCCACAGGCTGATGCTCCAGTAAGAACCTGGCTCAGCTCTGAAGCACAAAGTGCTCTGAGTGCAGAAAGTTTTATCTTTATTGATAAAAAGCTGCACAGAAGCCTTGGCAGTCAGGCTGCTGTAGTTCAGTGTGTGCTGATTTGAGGTTTTTAGAGGATAAGGCACACTGTTGGATACAGTGAGTGATATCAGATGTCAGCCAGCAGAAAGTCTCTGTGTGAACTGATTTTTTTACAAGCTCTTCACTTCTGTTGCAGGGGAGCCAATGGTGGCTGCAGCAGCTGGAATCTGGGATAATTACAATGTCAAAAAGCAGCTGCTTCATTCATGGTAAGGCTGGCAGGATTTCACTTGTAACATTACTCTGTGTGTGTTCAGGGGATGTGAAACTGGGGATTCCATGTACAGGAAGATGTCTTGAAACACAAAAATGAAGCTGAGTTTGGCAATTGTAACAATATTTCTTTGCTGTTTCCCTATTTCCAGCACGGTGATTGCCAGCAACATTCTCCTGGTGGATGAAATCATGAGAGCTGGGATGTCCTCCCTGAAGGGCTGAGCTGGAGCTGCTCCCTGTGGAATTTCTCCAAGGAATCCACCCCAGGGCCCTGTCCTTGGCTGTGGTGGATGTCCCAGCACCAGAAGTCACTCTGCCATGAGGGGCAGCCCCTTTGGTAACCAGGCCACTCAAAATCTCAGCAACTCCATCAAAGATTTGGCTCTAAAAAGGAGTTATTTATTTTTGATTTCACTGAACTGTGTGGCTGCAGTTGCTTTCCATTTTTACCCAATAAACTGTTCTGTTCTGTGCTTTGGGTGTCTGTTCTTTAACCTCCACCCTCTCTGGAGCATTCTGCAGTGGGGCTGCATTCCTGAGTCCTACTCTTGGCCATTTTGTGAAATTACTACTCAAGACTTCTGTGAAATTATTGCTACTACTTCTCTGGGAACAGGGTCGGATCAAGCCTGGAATTTGTTTAGTAAATCCTAAAAAAAAAGCTGGATTAAGGCAGTCACTTAATAGTTTTGTACTTGCTTATGAATAAAACTGAGTTCACTGACTGCAGAGTGGCTTTTGGGGGGTGAAGGACCTGCTTTAAGGGTTGGATTTTTAATAGTGGTGCTTCTACATTAAAGTATTTATGGATAATGAGTGCCAGAGCAGGTCTGGGCAGAGCTGTCTGGGTTTGTGGCAGGGGAACAGCCTCCTGCCCTCCGGAATGATTTTCCCTAAAACCAGCGCTCCTTTGTGTTAGGAGGAATCTCCGTCACACACGAAACCTTTAAAAAACCCTTCAAACACCAAAAAAAGCCTCTCTTGTGTGGAAGGGTGGCGGTGGCCCCGGTGCCCCGCAGTTTTAACCCCGAGTGCAGCGGGGCAGTGACAGAAATCCCCTTTCCTGCAGAACCGCTGCCCCGGAAGCGCTTCCCGAGCCCGCGGCACCTCCGGGTCGGGCCCGCGGTTCCTCGGGATGGGAGCGGCGGCGGGGCTGGTGCTGCTGTGCTGGGCGGTGCTGGGGGCTCAGCGCGGTGAGAGCCCCGAAATCCCCCCGGCATCCCCAAAATCCACCCCAGCATCCCCTCCCGGAGCTTCCTGCTGATCCCCAGCCGGGGATCGCCCCCTTCCCGAAAACGGGATTTGAAATGCTTTGAGCTGTGCGGACACCAACCGCTGTCACCCCGTCCAGCACAGGCTGGCACATCCCGCCACTAGCTGCGCCTCGCCAGTGTTTAAAAATGAAACTTGTAAATGAAATTTGTCCCTTTTCAGCGCTCGGAGAGGATGGCAGCATGGTGCAGCTGCCCGGAGGCACCTTCCAGATGGGATCCGGCTCCCTGCAGAGGAGGGGCGAGGAGGCGCCCGCCAGGGAGGTGACGGTGAAGCCCTTTGCTCTCGACAGACACCCGGTGACAAACAGGGACTTCAGGTGAGCCCGCCGTGCCTCGGGTGGCCGCGGGGAGGGACAGGGCCAGGTGTGGTGCCAGCTGCTCTGGGGTCTGAAAGCCACTGCTTGGGTGCTCATTGGAAAAAAAACATGTGTCTGTCAATAGGAAATCACTGTCACAGGAGCAAGCTGAACCATCGTGGCAGTGTGGCTTGCAAACATACTTTTATTTCCTTTTTTGTCATTTCCCCCTTCTTTCCTCTTATTTGTTCTTTTTTTCATCTTGTCCTCTTCCTCTTTTCTCCTCATCTCCTTCTCCTCCTCTCTTCTTCCTCTCTTTTCCTTCCTCTCCGCCTTTCCCTCTCCTCTCCCTATTCTTTCCCTCTCTTCTTCTCTCTCCGCTCTTCTCTCTTTTTCTCTCTTCCTTCTCTTCCCTTCCTCTCTTCTTCTTCTCTTCCACTAACAGCAGCCACAGGTTTTATTGGCTTTTAAGGGATTTTTTTCTCTGTGCAGTTATGGAAACCTGAGTGCAGGCTGAGTTTACCTGCACAGGTAACATTAAAAGTATCAAATCTGTGCAAAGATGCACACTAGACTGTTTTATCTGTTAAATCTAAATTAAACCATCTGGAGCTGGGGGGTCTGTAAGTTTTGTACCTTTTGCCTTGCTCTGAACTCTGCACAAGCAGATTTGTGAGGCAGAGCTTGAAGAACTCTTACCCAGAGCATGTTGTATTTATGCCAGGGAGTTTGTTAGAGAAAAGAAATACAAAACAGAAGCAGAAGCATTTGGCTGGAGCTTTGTCTTTGAGGATTTCGTATCTGAAGAGCTGAAAAAAAAAGTCACCCAAAAACTGGAGGTAAATCTGAATCCTGTGATGAGTTTGGTGTTGCTTTTCCACTGAGGAGCAGCTCTGCAGAGCCTGCTGTTCTCAGAGGTTTTTCTTTAGTCTGGGGTTGTTTTGCTTTTGAACCTCAGCAGGATTGAGCTGAGGTTGATTCCTGTGCTCCTCTGTTTCCATGCTCTGTGAGCTGTCAGTCTGGACTCCAGGGAGCTGGGAGGAAGTAAAATGTGTTTCAAAGTACTTCAGTAATCTAACTTTAATATAGAAAAATTAACAGCATGAGCCTCTTGATCTATTTTCACTTTGAAAAGCAGATGCCTCTGCTCTGTGGAAAAAAAAAGTCACCCAAAAACTGGAGGTAAATCTGAATCCTGTGATGAGTTTGGTGTTGCTTTTCCACTGAGGAGCAGCTCTGCAGAGCCTGCTGTTCTCAGAGGTTTTTCTTTAGTCTGGGGTTGTTTTGCTTTTGAACCTCAGCAGGATTGAGCTGAGGTTGATTCCTGTGCTCCTCTGTTTCCATGCTCTGTGAGCTGTCAGTCTGGACTCCAGGGAGCTGGGAGGAAGTAAAATGTGTTTCAAAGTACTTCAGTAATCTAACGTTAATATAGAAAAATGAACAGCATGAGCCTCTTGATCTATTTTCACTTTGAAAAGCAGATGACTTTGCTGTGTGGAAAGCAGCATCCAAATGTCTGTGATAACCCAGCTCAAACTGCAGCATTTCCCAGACTAACACACCCTGCTGTGGGACAGTGTCACCAGCCCAGGTGTCACCAGTTCTCTTTTAATCTTAGTGTCATTTCTTTCCCCAGTCAGCCCCGTGGTGGCTGCCCATCGAGAAGGCTTTTTGGAGACAGGTGAGTAAAATCCCGGTGTGGAAAAATCCTGGTGTGGTAAAATTTTGGTGTGGAAAAATTTTGGTGTGGAAAAATCCTGGTGTGAAAAATCCCAGTATGATAAAAACCTGGTGTGATAAAATCCGGGTGTGAGTAAAACTCTGGTGTGCCAAAATCCTGGTATGGTAAAATCCCAGTATGGTAAAACCCTGGTATGGTAAAATCCTGGTATGGTAAAATCTTGGTGTGATAGAATCCTGGTGTGGTGACTCCTCTCCATGCTGGGAGCTCGTGTGTTGTGTGTGCTGAACCTTATTGACCAAAAATAGGTGAAAAAACACTTTCCATCTTTTCATCTCTTCCACCCCTTACTCCCTTTGTAATGAAAACTGTGTAAAATTAATTCAAATCTGCTTCAATCCCTCCCAGCCCTCAGGCCCTGGCTCCAGCATTAAGGACAGGCTGGATTACCCAGTGCTGCACGTGAGCTGGAACGATGCTCAGGCCTTCTGTGCCTGGAGAGGGAAGCGGCTCCCGTCGGAGGAGGAGTGGGAATTTGCTGCCAGGGGAGGACTGGAGCGTACGTAGCACAAGCTCTGAGCTTTTCCCAAAGCAGGCATGGAGGGGTGTTAGTTCCACCAGATGCAAACCTCCCTCCAGGGATGTTTTCAGATGTTGATCTGGGAGGGGGTTTGAACCACCTCTTTTGGCCTGAGAGGGTGACAATATTAGTAATTAATAAATTAATACAATTTCAGTGTCCTAAGCTGAGCAGAAAAGGACAATCCTAAAAGCCTGGCTGGAGTGACCCAGGGCTAACAAGTGTCTTTTCCTCCCTGGCAGAAAGGATGTATCCCTGGGGAAACAAGTTCCAGCCAAACCGTACAAACCTGTGGCAGGTGAGATGCTAAAAATCATCCCATCCATGCTGGGCTGTCCTCAGGGTAGGGTTTCACTCAACCACTGAGTCAGGGAGTCCTGGGAAACACTGGGGGTACTGAAACTCAGCTTCTGGGGGGTTGTAAAAATACCCTCAGAGGGAGCAGGCTCAGCCCATCTTCCCTGGGAAACCAGGATTTTACTGCTTCTAAAAATCCACACATAAATTTATTTGAAGAGGGAACTTGGGACAACTCCAAGTTGATCTCTCTTGACCAACATAAACTGACACCAGAGTTATTTGCCCACTTGGAGTGTGGCAGAGCCCTGTGAGAAGCAGGATTTGGGGTTGTTTCTGGGGTGGTTCTTTGCTGGGAGTGATCTCTGTTCCCCAGGGTGCCTTCCCTCAGGGGGACACGGCTGAGGACGGCTACCACGGCGTCTCTCCGGTGACAGCCTTCCCTGCCCAGAACAGCTACGGTACAGAGCACCCTCACCCTGCTTTGGGGATGGCATCTGCCCCCTAAATTAATGTTAATTATCATATCAGATATGTGGGATCTGGAGTAGAGTAAGTGAGCCCAGGAAAAGCACCGATTTTGGTGCTGGAGTTGGCTGAGGTGCACCTGCTGCACTTCAGGCACCAAACCACCTCCTTCTAATTAAAACTGGGTTGTTTTGCAACTCAGTGGGGTGTAACAAAAATTCCAAGGACAGTGTCTGGCTGCCATGTCCTCTTGCACTGTTTGAAATATATTGAGGAATTTCTTCAGCCTCACCATTAAACCACGCTCTTGAATGATCCTTTGACTGTTGTTCCCCCTCCCATACACCGAATTTACATTTCTTGCACACCTGCTCTCCTAATTCTGACACGAAACCATCTCAGGGCTCTATGACCTGCTGGGAAACACCTGGGAATGGACAGCATCAGAATTCCTGGCTCCAGGAAGGGCATCCAGGGCCCAGAAGATGCAGGTGCTGAGAGGGGCCTCATGGATTGACACTGCAGATGGCTCTGCAAACCACAGAGCTCGTGTCACCACCAGGTAGGTCTGGCCAAAGCCCAGGTGCTGCTGCACAAGGATTTCCTCTGGTTGGTTTTATTTTAAAAGATGTTTGTTCCTACACAATTTTTTTGAGAAGCGGTTGGCAGAGCACACTACAAATATGGCTAAAACCACCCCTGCTACAAATCCATTCCTAAATGCTTCTCAAATCATGTGTTTTCCAGCAAGTATTAATAATTAAATGCTTTTCTCTGAGTTATTCAGGGGAATTGGAAGATGTTTCTAGGCTGTTCCAGCAGGTCACACTAGGGTTGTGAGTGTTGTAACATGTTAGGGATATGTGTAACAAGGAAGGATCCCTAATTTTGGGTCTCTCTTTCCCTGTGAGGATGGGGAACACACCAGACTCTGCTTCTGACAACCTCAGCTTCCGCTGCGCTGCCGACATCCCGCCCGTGCCAGCCTGGAAAAGCCAGAGCAAGCCTGAGCTCTGAGGGCTCACTGGGAACACCTGAGGCATTTTCTCCTGTGGAGATGAACAGTAACCCCCAGCTGTAACTTCCATTAAACCCCAGTGGTTTCTAAAATTAAAAATAATTTCAGCCTTTTCAGTGCTGGGATGTCTGGGTGGCAGCAGTGATTGGGAAGGCAGGAAGGGGGGTTTGTCGTTAGTGTCCTTTTGGTGTGGGAGACACTCCAGCTCTCCTGTTGTTGTCCATGTAAAGCAGAGGGGTGCATGTGTGGGACTGGGCCAGAGCTGCTGTGACCTCCAGTGAGGGGACACCCACAGCCCCCTGTGATCATCAGTGTGGGGCTGCCAGGGGAGAAGTGATGGGGGCACATCCATGGAAGGGGGAGTCATAATCAGTCCCCATTCCCTTGGGAAGTCCCAGCTTTGGAGCAGTGCTGAGCCTTCCCAGAAGCAAAACAAGGCACCTTCACTGGCATTTGAGCAGTGACAAAATGATGAGTGTGACAGATGTGTGTGACAAACCAGTGCCCCACCTCTCCCAGGAGTTATAACCAGCACAAACTCTCTGTGCATGAGCTCTGCACCAAACTTGACCAGGAGCCTTGACCACAAGGATGGGCAAGAACCCTGCTCAGGGATCCCTCATCCACCTCTAACTGTCCCAAAACAGGCACTGCAGCTGCCTGAGGGCTGAGCCTTCCCCATGGGGAGCTGCAGCTGGTTCTGGCTCTGCTAAATGTGGCTTCTCCAAGCCCATTCCTCCAGTGAGATACACCCCAGGAGCAAATTGTTTCCTGGGTTTGTATTTGCACCAGTCCAAGTGAAATAAAATTTAAAAATCCCAGAAATCACCGTTTTGTTTTCCAATATTTTACTCGCCTTACTGTGAGCCAAACCAGGGGCTGGGGCAGCGATCAGAACAGCCCCTCCTCAGTTGCCAGGGTGAGCAGGATGGCCTTGCAGGTGTTCTCAAAGAGGGCAGCTCTGTTCTGGGCCTCCCCCTTCTTCACCCAGTGGCGGTAGGTGCGGAAGGCGCAGGCGTCGATGAGCTTGCGGACGGGCTTGAGCGCGTAGGGGTCCCTGATCACCAGCTCCCGGGTCACCGACTTCACCTGCCGGTACTGGTAGTAAATCCTCACCGAGGCCAGCACGGTCAGGCAGATCACCTGCGGAAAGGGAGCAGCCTGACAGTCAGGGGAATCCTCCCACAACAGCCTGGGATTCAGGGGAATCCCCACAACAGCTGGGAATTCCCACAACAGCCTGGGATTCAGAGCAACAGCCTGGGATTCAGGGAAATCCTCCCACAACAGCCTGGCGTTTAGAGGGATTCTCCCACAACAGCCTGGCATGCAGGGGAATTCCCACAACAGCCAGGAATTCCCACAACAGCCTGGGATTCAGGGAAATCCACAACAGCCTGGCATTCAGGGGAATTCCCACAGCAGCCAAGAATTCCCACAACAGCCTGGGACTCAGAGGAATTCTCCCACAACAGCCTGGCATTTAGAGGGATTCTCCCACAACAGCCTGGGACTCAGAGGAATTCTCCCACAATAGCCTGGCATTTAGAGGAATTCCCTCAATGGGGTGGTCCCAGTGGATCACCTCATGTGGGAGTCAGGAAGGAGCTCAGTGCCTGGCACAGTTTAGTTTCTGCAGGGCTGGCACAGGGAAGGGGTTCATGCCAGGGAATCACAGAATCACAGCATGGTTTGAGTTAAAAGGGAACTTAAAGCCCATTTTACTCCCTGCCATGGGCAGGGATGTTTTCCCCTATCCCAGGTTGCTCCAAGCCCTGTCTGACCTGGCCTTGGACACTTCCAGGGATGGGGCAGTCAGGTTCTCTGGGAAACCTCTGCCAGGGCCCCGGCACCCTCACAGCCAAAAGTTTCTTCCCACAATCCCATCTGACCCTGCCCTCTGGCAGTGGGAAGCAATTCCCCCTTGCCCTGTCACTCCATCCCTTGTCCAAAGTCCCTCTCCAGCTCTCTTAGAGCCTCTTTAGGCAATGGAAGGGGCTCTAAGGTCTCCCTGGAACCTTCTCTTCTGCAGGCTGAACTCTCCAGCTCTTTCAATGGTTTCCTTTGGATGTGAGAGGCAGCTTCTCCCTTAACTCCCTCCTGTGAAGGAGTACTTGGTCTGCACCCAGGCTGCAGCATCCTCCCAAAACCCAGCCCCATCAGCCTTACCCAACCCCCAGCTTCTCCCAAACCCATCCCACTGCTGGCTCCTGCAGCTCCCAGCTTCATCCCCACCTTGAATTTGCGGAAGGGGCTGAAGTGCCGGACCTCCTCCACATCGTACTGCTGGAAGAAGGGGTGTGCCAGCGCCTCGCCCGCCGTGTACCGCTGCCGCGGGTCCACCACCAGGAACCGCGAGATCTGCAGGGGCACCCGCTCAGTCTGGGCTATCCCAGGGCTCTGCAACACCCCCTCCACTCCGGGTTTTCCCAGCCCAAGCACCTACCAGGTCCTTGACGGTGTCGGAGCGGTCGTCCCACTCCGGGGAGCCGAAGTGGTAATCGCCGTTCATGATCATGCGCAGCATCAGCATCTGCTTGCGGTGCCAGAAGGGCGGCGAGCCGGCCAGCAGGGTGTACATGATCACCCCGGTGCTCCACCTGTGGGCAGCCCACACGGAGCCTCCAGCACCCCTGTGCCACCCCCGGGGCACCCAGCTGGCTCTGCACCCCAGGGGAAAACCAGCAGGGAAACTGGACACCTGGAAAACCGGCAGGGAACTGCCCTGCGTGTGCCTGGGAAGGGGGGCTGAGCTGTGCTGGAGCGTGGTTTGAGCTGGGCTGATGGGGAGTTGTTTCCTGGATGCTGCAGGAGGATACCTTGAGATGGAGTGTTTGGCCCTTGCAGAGTTTTTTAGGGAAGGGAGTGGGGCTTGGTGATGCCAGCCAGGCTGGATGCCCTCAGGCACAGCTCAGGCTGTGCAGTGCCAGGTGTCCTGGCTCAGACTGGAAAGGGGATGAAATGCCCTGGGTGTGTGTCACAACTCTGACCACTGCAGCCTGAAGCCACCAGAGGTGGTGGCAAAGTCCCTGCAGAGCTCTGGTGGGCTGCCCTGAGCTGGCTGCTCTCTCAGGGGGTGCACAAGGTGTGTTTAAAACCCCTGTGTCTTGGAGCTCAGTCTAAGTTGACTCCATGAACAGAAAGTGTTGCTTTCCCTCCCACAATGAGGCAAAGTGAGGAGGTGGGCTTGTCCCCAGGCTGCTTCACCCCCTGCTCTGTGCCAGAACCCCCTGGTGACCCAGACAGCCCCTCACAGCCACCAATATTGGCTTTTGGTGCATCATTTCATTCTCTCCAAACACTCAAACAGGTCCCCAAGGACACAATTCTGGCCATGCCTCAAACCACGTGTGTGTTTAGGGAACAGCTTCTCACTCACATATCCACCTCCTTCCCGTAGCCTTGGTGCTCATCATCCATGGAGCACTGCAGGATCTCGGGGGCCAGGTAGCCAGGAGTGCCACAGATCTCTGTGGGGACAGGGACACAGGGCAGAGCATCAACCCAGGTGCCATTCCCACCCACCTCCAGGCAGCCCATGGTGGGATCTTTGCAGGGATGGTGCTCACAGGGAGGAATTGCAACCTGTGTGTATCTCACTGGTGACTTTTTTTGTGAATTATTGTGGCTAAAAAGTGAGCAAAGAAAATTATATGGATGCTTGTGGGAGCCTGTTGTTGGGTATGTGGCTCTTTGCATGTAGGAGTTGGGGGAAACAATGGGGCAGTAAGTGGATGATCAGTAATGGGGATCAGCTGGAGGAAAAAAGAAGTGGAATGGATTAGGATGGTTTTCCTAAAGAGCAGCAACTTCTTCATGGCAAGGAGAGAGGTGTGGAGGCTGTGTGCAGGCAGAACTTGTGTGTGAGGACAGCAAAAGCAGCCAAACAGCACCAATTTGCACCCCCAGGTGAGACTGGTGACAAGGAGAGAGAGGGGCTGGAAAAACTCACCAGTCCAGCATCCCCCCCAGCTCACCAGCCCCCTACCTTTGAGCTTCTCATTCTCATTCAGCTGGCAGGAGAAGCCAAAATCTGTCAGCTTGATGTTCATGTCATCATCCAGCAGGATGTTCTCTGGCTTCAGGTCCCGGTGGACGATGTTGATGGAGTGCAGGTATTGGATCACTTCCAGCAGCGCTCTCATGATCTTCCTGGGGATGGGGACAGCTCATTCCCTGTCCCAAATACCCACTGGCACCATGATCCCAGGGAAGGGGACAGGGACAGTGCACAGGGACACAGCCCAGGGTGCTGTGCTCTCCCCTCAAACCACACTCTGCTCTTGCAAGGTGATTTTCACCCCTCTGCACCTGGCCTTACCTGGTTTCTTTCTCGCTCAAGGTGACTTTCTCAGTGAGGTAGTCAAAGAGCTCCCCTCTCCTCATCCTGCATGAGGGAGGGGACACAGAGTCAGGCAGAGGCTGAGCTGCAACATCAAACCAGCCCTGAGTCTCTGGGGAGGATCAGTCAGGGGTCTGTGCCCCTTAACAGCCCAAAATAACTTTTATAAAAAGGGGTAAAAGTGCCTCTATATATTTCAGTAAAATATCAGGCAGAAGGAGAAGAAGCTGTGCCTGGAGAGGGCAGGTTTTGGGTAGAAACACAATTGTTAAGGTTGAAAAGGTCTATAAGATCACCAAGTCCAACCATCAAAGATGGGGCAGGGATGGGCTCTCCCAGTGCCATCCCACTCCTCTGACATCCACTGCACTGTCCTGGCATTGGGAATTGTGGCTTTGCAGACACCCTGGTCCCAGTGAGCATATAAATAACCCTCAGGGATGCATGACAGCTCCCACCAAAGGTTACAGGGAAACCCGAGCAGTGCTGAGCCGCTGACAGAGGGAAAACAGTGCTGGCAGCAGAGCTTCAATGAGCTTGCAGTAATTGGGACTTGATTCTGCCTTAAGGGCTGCTTGTCCCTCCACTTTGCCATTTTTGGGCCATAAAAAGCTGGGACCAATCTGCAGAGAGGGAGTGGGCCCAGGGTGCTGAGCCAGCTCGTACTTACAGGTCAAACACCAAGAAGAAGAAAGTGCTGGATTCATAGCTGTCCTTCAGCTGGACTGTAATAAAGCACAGGGGCTGTGAGCACAGTGTTCCTGTCCATCAATGGACTAAAAATCTCATTAAACTGCTAAACGAGTTAACGAGGAGCTGATCTTCACAAGTGTTGTGCTTGGGAGACAACAAGGGGGCCACTGCTGGGATGGGTGTGTGGAGGGAGAGCAAACAATGCTCTGAGCAGGTGCCTGGCATCATCCAGGGATTTCACCCCAAAAACCCTTCCTGGGGACACCCTGAGGAACACAGAGGGCAGAAATTGCCCTTGAGTGGGCGCTCAAGGCCTGACTTACTGACGTTGGGGTGGCCCGAGACCTTGCGGAGGATGTCGATCTCCTTGGTGGTGGCTTCCCGCAGCTCCTGCACCTCCTTGGGGGAGATGTTCCCCGCCGTGATGTCGATGATCTTCACGGCGTATTCCTGCCTCGTGGTTTTGTGGATGCACCGCCGGACCACGCTGCTCACCCCCCTGCCAGGGACAACAGGGACAAAAGGGGGGGTTCCATCCCTGCCTGCCCAGCCACCGGCACCTGGGCTGGCTGGGATTTTCATGCACCAGCGGGTCTCGTTCTGTCACCCTGTCTCGGTGGGACAGAAGGTTTTGAGCTGATGGAAAGTGCTGTTCCATGCTATTTTTAGCCCCATGCTGCTGTGGGCCCTGTTTGTATCAGATTCCCAGGGAACACTGTACCGATCTGGCACTGGAGGACGTGAAACCAAAACAAGCTGCTTGCCAAAAATAAAGCTTTACCTGCCCAAAACCTCCTTCGGCTCATATTTTTCATAAAACTCCTTGGATGAGTTCCAGTCTGGTAGATCTTCTTCCTTGGTCATCTCTGACTCCTGTCAGGCAGCACTCTGGGCTTGTCTATGGGCAGAAAGGAGCTGCAAGGAAAAAAGAGCGAAGATGGGCACTCTCTGCCCCCAGAGCTGGGATCATCAATCCCTTATGGAAGAAAAAACATTGAGGAGGAAGGAAGAGAAGAAAGATCCTGGACCAACCAAAGGAGGTGTTCTGCTGCTTGGAAAAGCCAAGCTTTGCCCTTGGGATGCTGCAGAGATCCCACTGGGAACAGGAGAAACCCCACTGGATTCCCTCACAGCCTGGCTGTCCCCAGGGGCAGAACCAGCCTGGCTGGGGCCAAGGCTTTGGGAAATGCTGTGGCACCCCAAAACCTCATCCCTTCCCTGTGCCCAGCTCACAGCAGCAGCCTCCAGAAACACCACCCCACACCAACACCACCCCAAGGGGAATCTGGAAGCTGCAATCTGCCCCTACTGATTTTCTCTTTCATTTCCTTGTTATTTTTAAGATTACAAAGTTGTCTTTAGCTGAGAATAAGGAGGGAAAATAGTGTTCAAAGGGAATAGAAATGGACTCAGGAGGAAAAAGAGGTAGTGAGGGCCAGTGAAGTAGCAAGAGGGGCCGGGTGGGTCAGGGTGCAGGTGGGGACAGAGGGACTGGGGACAGTGGGAGCTGAGCCAGCATGAGGACAGCAGCTCAAAGAACTCCCTCAGCCACTCCTGTGCAGCTGCCAGCAGCCTCAACAACTCCTGAAAGGCTCTTGTCCCATTTCTTTTTCCTATTTCAGGCTTGGAGGGATTTTTATGCAGCTTGTTTCTGTGCCCATACACGGAGTCCAGGCAGTTAGGATGGAAAGCAGTTTTTACAAGCCTGGGCAGCAAAACTGTCCCTTTGGGAATGACAGTTTGCTGCTGGGGAGGGGACAGAGGTGGGCAGGAGATCCCCAGTTCTGTGAGCTTCCCTTTGCCCTCCTTTCAATAACTCTGCCAGGGCATTGGCAGCTCTAAGTACATTTAAATCTCATTAGCAACGTGTTATCTGTCCTGACCTGGTTTTAAGGACCAAAGTGTGTTTTGGGTGTCTGGCTGCTGCTGCCAGGGATGTCTAACACGGGCTGGAGCATTTCTAAACAACCGTGACCTTACAAAATTTTAGTTGTTGGAAATACTACAAGTAATTCCAAACCATGCTGAAATCACAAAGGGGAGGCAGGGCCAGGAAGTAGGGAAAATAAAATATCTCTGGGGCGGGGGGGGAGGGTAAGCAAAACTGATTATTTTTGAAAATCCAGGTCCTGGGGGTTGGTGTTGTGGGGAAGGGCTGGAGGCTGGGGAGCATCCACGGAGCACTGCCGGGAGAAGCCTGGAATCTGCGTGCTGCCTTCTCCTGGGCGAAAAGAACCGGGAGTTTGTTTAAAACACCCTGGAGTTATAAAAGCAGCAGGTGCAGGGCTCTATCGGGACACTCTGCGTTCATTAGCAGAGTGCAGGGGGGTCGTGAGGGGATTTTCTGCCGGGAGGAACACTGAGGGTGAGGCGCTGGGCTTCGCCCCCCGCCCGCAGCTGCCAAACGGGGGGATCTCTGAGGAGAACAAAGATATTCAAATATCCACCGGGATAAACCCGCAAAGCTCAAGAAAAAGCAAGCTTTCAGGCCGGCAGGGGAACGCGGCCCCTCTCCCTCAGCCCAGGGGCGCTCCAGCCCCGACCCTCCGCCGCTGACCCGGAGCCAAAGAACGCTGAGCACGGGAGCTTCCCGGGGCAGGACCCCCCCTCACAACCCTCCCTCAGCGCCGCCGGCTCCTCACCTCGCTGAGGGCAGCGCCGGGCTGGGCCCGGGCCTGCCGCCGGGAGCCGAGCGCTCAGGGCCGGCCGCCGCCGCCCGGCCCCGGAGAAAGCGCAGCGCGAGTTGGCAGCGGCGGGAGCCGGGCGGGCATGGCCGGGCTACGGGCAAGGGGGGGCCGGGGGCCGCCCCGGAGCTGCGGCACTTCCCCGGTTTAACCCTTCCGCCGCCGAGCACGGAGCGGCCCCGGCTCCTCCTCCCCGGGGGCGTTGCTGTGGGGCCGCCGGGAGCGGGGGCTGCCCCGGGCACGGGGAGGCTCGGCCGGGACGGGCGGGGAGCGCGGAGCCGCGGAATCGGGAAGGCGGGAGGGAGCTTTAAGAGCAGGCGGTGCCGGCACTGCCACCGTGAGCACCGAGCCGCTCTGTCCGCACCCAGCGCCAGGGCCGGGCGCCTCTTGGACACTTCCAGGGATGGTGACTCCACAACTTCTCTGGGGAAGCTATTCCAATGCCTGACCACCCAAACGGATTTTTTTTTTTTTTTCCCCTCATATCTAACCGAATTGCCCCTGTATCAGCTTAAGGCCATTTCTTCTTGTCAGAGTGGCCCAAACCACCCAATGGTTTTATTTCAGTTTCACCGGACGGTGAAACTCCCCAGAAATGAGATGGGAGTTTGATCAGCAGAGGCGAAGCTGCTCCTGTCACCAGGACAGGCAGTTCTGTCCTCACCCGCTCTGTGTGAGGTGACTCCTCTCCCTTCTGAACACTGATTTAATCTTTTCACTTCCAGGAGCTGCAGGTGAAATGCTTTAGGAATGGGCATAACACATCAGGGAAAACAGGTTATGCTAGGGAAAGTATTTTTAACAGGAACTGCACTTTTCAGAGCAGGGATATTCCCCACCACAGTTCCTGGTGGGAGCACAGCTTATCCAGGCTTTTCCCGTGATGACCAGGGGGTGTTTACTTTATCAGCCCCAAGGATTTGAGCAAGGCATGATGTGGCTGCTCCCTCTGATGGGAAAAAGAGGGTTTGCACTTTGCATCAGTAAATACTTTTAAAATAAATTATTTTCATGTAGCAGCCATGGCTTTGTAACTTGCCTGAGCCAGGCAGGAGGGAAAAGCCACAGGATCATCCTCTCACGGTTCAGCCCTATTACAGCACAAAAAGAAACACCTGCAGAACACCCTGCCAAAATCAATTCTCACCTCACCCTTTACTCCAGCACTCAAACTCAACTAACACAAGGTACTTCTAGAGAGAGAAGTTTATTTATAGACATTACATACATTCAACACAACAATCAGCAAACCCAGTAAAACCCATGTTAGCTCATTCTGCTTTACTATTCACTCTTCCATTTTGTGCTAAATTAAATTGCGGCTGTGAAGTTGGATCACATCAGAGGCAGTTATGGCAGAAGTCAAGCCACAGAGATGACAGTGTGAATGTATGAACTAACAAGATACCAGACAGCTTTAAACTTTATTACTGAAGCTTTTTGGTTTTCATTCATAGGTCAGTTCTTGCAAGATGATCTTCAGCTGCCTCCTTGTACAAGCTTAGGCCAAACCTGAAAGGGAAAGAGTTATCTCAGTGAGTTTTGGATCCCTGAATGGAAGGGTAAGGAGGTATCTCAGTAAATTTTGGATCTCTGAATGGAAGGTGCTTTCCTTGCCACAGGACAGATTTGTCAGGGTGTTCCCCCTTCCCTCATGCACTTGCTGGGATATGCTGAGCTGCAGACATCAGCACTGCTGCACAGCTGCCTCCTTCCTCCCAGAACAGGATGGTTTTGTCTTTAGAGCTCTGCTAATGCCCCAAATGTGCTGCTGCCTCTTTTCCAGTCATCTTTAAGCCATGCACCAGCACAAAGCATCAGGAATTTACCCCCTCTCCACCCCACAGGACCAAAGCACGAAGCCCAACAGAACAGCAGCTGCTTTACCTGACTTCAGAGCACCTTCATGACTGCCCAGCTGGATCAAACCCCCAGGACATCATTCCCATGATTCTTTTACTGATTATCCCATTTAACAGCTGCCTGCCAGCACTGTGTACTTACCATTGGAAATCCTGCACTGCTTGAGCACCTCACTGAAGCCCTCACACAGCTTGAGGTCAGTCTGCTTCTGGGCACACTCCAGGAATTGTTTAATCTCATACTGGCAAGGACCTTGCTGCTGCTGGGCAGCCTGAGCGGCCTGGGGCTCCTGAAACACCAAGTGGCTCCATAAGGACCTTTCCAACAAAACCAAACAAGCCTTTCCAACAAGCTCCACACTGCTTGCTATGGGTTCTTCCCTGCATTTCAGTCAAAATCTTCATTTTTTTAATGGAAAACAAGTGAAGGGCTAAAGTACAAAACAATTTTCCAGCAGCAGAATGCCACATTCAGAGCAGTTTTTAAAGTTACAGAACTTGAGTGATTTTGAGACATTCAGGTAACTCTGGATGGCACCTGAGCAAAGATCTCCCCAACATCAGACCTGGAACATGGAAGTCCTGCCTGAATCAGAGGAATGCAGTAGAAGATAACACCAACACCTTGCCACACATCCCTCCTGCATCCCTCTGAACTCTTTTTAAGATGACTCATGGCAAGTTACCTTGGAGATTCAGTCTGTAGTTATAGACTATATACAGTTTTATATATATAGATTATATAAAGACTGTAAGCACTCCAGCTGTGACTCATGTGGTGTTTAAGGCTCCAGCAACTCCCTCAGCCCACGTGGAGCTGAGCTGCCATCAGTCAGTGTCCAGCCATGCTTCCCCTCACCTGGTAAGTGACATCAGGCCTGGCAGCTTCGGAGCTGCCCCCTCCACTAAATCCTCCGGTGATGGCGTGGCCGATGGTGTGTCCCACGGCCGAGCCCACGGCCACCCCGGCAGCGGTTGTGGCCATCTGGGCCATCAGCCCCGGCTGCTTCGGGGCCGGCGCCGCCACGGCGGAAGGCGGAGCCGCTGCGGGGACAGAGGCCCGAGGAGCCGGTGCTGGAGACGCGGCTCTCATCGGGGGTGCCCGGCTGCAGGGACACAAAGAGAAACATCAGTTCATCATCATCATCACGATCCCAAACCACGCCGGGCAGAGGCCGCATGGCTGCAGGGCCAGGAGTCCAGCGTTCCTGCTGTGAGGCACGGAATGTGCCCAGCTGGAAGGGACACACGGTGTCACACCGCGCTGCGCAGGAGGCCCCAGCGATCACGCTGGGGTTACACACACCCCCGCTGGGGTTACACACACCCCCGTTACACGCAGAAGGAATGAATTCGGTGTTCTGGTAAGCGTCTTATGCAAGACAGGGTCAGGGTTACAGGCTTCTTTCTGCTCACACAGCTGCTTTGGGGAAAAACAGAGTATGACCCAAAAGCGGCTGATTACCACGGTGTTGGTGTCCAGGCCCTGCGGCCGAGCAGACCCACTTCCATCCCCCAAATCGCCCGACCCCGCTCCGCTAACCCACAGCCAGCCCAGCTCAAACCAGCCGGGCGCTGCCACCACCCCGGTGCGTCACTCGCCCGCACCATGGCGGCCAGGCCACTGCGGCCTGCGCGGGGGAGAGGGGAGAAAGAGAAGCGGCCCCCGCCGCCCTCACCTGGCGGGGGGCGGCACGCGGGACGTGCGGCTGCGGCTGCCCCTGGGCATGGCGGCGGGAAGCGGAGGAAGCCCCGAGCGGCGCGGAGGGAACCGGAGAAAGCCCCGAGCGGCACGGCCTGGCCTGACACCCGCACGCCGCCTCTGAAGGTCACCGCGTTCTACGTCACTTCCGGAACGCCGCGCGTGGGGCGGGGCTGAGCGGAGGCCACGCCCCCTCATCCTGCCTGAGGCGCCGCGCGGGAGCTGCTGCGATGGCGGCGGGAGCGGCGGTGGCAATAAATAAATAAACACCTAAGCTGCGGTTAAACCCGGGCCTGAGGGATCGTTGGTCATAATGAACGTTTAAATAGCGATAGACCTGCGTCTGTCGGACCTTCAGCCTAAATTGTGACAAATATGCGCGTGCGGGATCCTCGGTCACAATAAACACTTCCGCCTTTGTAGGATCCTCGGTCATAATAAACATCTAATTAGTGTTAAACCCTCGTTTTTGTGGCACTTTCAGCCACAATAAACACCTAAATAGCGATAAATCCGCTCCTGTAGGGTCCTCAGCCACAATAAACTCCTAAATCTGTGAGGGACCATCGGTCACAATAAACGCATAAAGCACAATAAACCTGCGCCCGTGGCACCTTCAGCCACAACAAACACCTAAATCGCCATGGGAAATGTTCCAGCCTTCAGGGAATCGTTCTCTGTGGAAAGGGAGCCTCCAGAAACCTCTCGGAATTCAGCCCTTCAGCAGAGTTTGATTTTATTTCTATGGAATCATGGGTTCTTCTGGAGCAAAGAGGAGATCCCATCAATCCACAGAAACATCTCCAAGGGGTGCCAGAGGATGATCCTGGATTCTTTCTGGTGATGCCCAGCAACAGGACGGGGAGTAATAGCCATAAAGTAAAACACAACAAGTTTCACCTCAACACGAGAAAGAATTTCTTTAGGCTGGGGGTGGCAGAGCTCCGAACCTGCAGTGTCCCTCTGGAGACATTCCAACCCCACCTGGAGGTGACCCTGCCTCGGATGATCTCCAGAAGTCCCTTCAACCCCAACCATTCTGTGATTCTGCGATTTTCATCCCAAAAAAGAAGCGAGGGTCCCTCCTGCCTCCTCATCCCCGCCCTTGTGCTGTCTCCTTGCTTTAGAGACACTGTCTACTTGGAGAAATGAATTTTTAAAATTAATTTATTAATTATTGTATTAATGAAGCTGTTTCTACACACAGCAGCTATGATAAGGGATACCACAGTCAACAGTGATGATAATTCAAGATAAATAAAATTGCTTGTTGGCAGTTCCTTCACTTAAAAAGAGGTGAAAGACCAGACATTTTAACATCTTTTACATCAGGGGATGTAACTGTTGCCAGATGAAAGAAGTGCTAACATTGTGAGTTTATAGAGCAGGAGCACAGCTCAGAAAAGCAGCTGCTGACAGGAGAATTATCTGGATATAAATATAAACGATAAACCATGTTCAGAACAGGGACATCTGCAGAAGCTCAGACCTCTGGTGTTGCTGCAGGACAGCTTCTTCTCCCTGGCTCTTGGCCTCTTTCCATCTCTGAGAGCAATAATTGAGCAATAATTTTGCTTTTCTAGAGTTCAAGGAACTCATTTCTTAATGAGTGGTTTTCTCAATGCTTTTTAATTAATAGTTTTCAATTTTTTTTTTTTTTTCTGGCAGAACGATTCTTGACGCTTGAAGTCATTTTGTGACGGCGTCCCTCTTGGATTTGTTTTGTTTTGCAGAACAATGAGGGCAGGATGGCACTGCAGGCAGGATGAATGCTGCCATTGTGCTTTGTCCTCCTGCTTTCCTTGGGAAAACTCCAGATCTCCCTTTTGTACCGGCTCACCCTCACATCTGCTGATGCCCACAGCGCACAAGGATTTGGAGAAAGGCACAAGAACCAGGAGCTGGTGGCCATCCCAAAAAAACCAGCAATAATGGTGGTTGTGGTGTTCCCAGCGAGCAAAAATTGTTTATTTTCAGCTGCCATGACTTTGATGTGGGTGCACCACAGGGATTAAATGGTTCTTTAACAACCAGACAGGTGTTGATGCTGCTTTTGATAGAAAGGTGTGAAAGAAACAAGATCCAACCCTGATTTTGGGTTGTTTCTGTCTGACTGTGACCCAGTGTGGCAGAATGGGATCCCAGATCTGGGAAATAAGTGATGAAATCCCATTGCTCAAGGCTGAGCGAGCCCTGGGGAATCCAGCCGCTGCTCCCGAGCCAAGTGGAGCACGAGGCTGCGGTGTGAAAATCAAACTTTTCATAGATTTCTTCTGTCGTCTGTCCGAATTACACATCCCAGACACCCTCGTGGTGAGTCTGGGAGCGTAACAGGCCCTCTGCACACCGGGCTCTGTGCGGGATGCCCGAGTTTGGCACATTCTGCCCAAAGTCACAGAGAAAGCCCTGGAGAGCGGGGCTGAGGCTCACATCACCTCAGCTCCGTGAGGGGACAATCATCCCTGAGCGTCAGCTCAGCCGGGGAGACCTTTTTGTGTTCTTAGGAACTGCCTGGTGCCCCCGCATCCCAGATAGGAGGGAAAAAATGTGAGGGAAAGCTCATTTTCCTGCTGAAAATGCCTGTTTGCCTGCTGGAAAATCCCATTTTCCTGCTGAAAACGCCCATTTTCCTTTTGGAAATGCTCATTTTCCTCCTGAAAAGCCCATTTTCCTCCTAAAAAAGTCCATTTTCCTTGTGGAAATGCCCATTTTCCTCCTGGAAAAGCCCATTTTCCTCCTGGAAAAGCCCATTTTCCTCTTGTAAATGCCCATTTTCCTGCTGGAAAAGCCCAGTTTTCTCGCTGGATTCAGGCCGGGGGGGGCAGCGGCGTGAGGGGACTCAGCCGGGGCTCCCGGCGGCCGCCAGGGGGCGCTATGCCACGCCCCCCCCACCCCCGCCCAGGCCTGACGTGACGTCGTCGCGAGGCGCCACGTCCGGCGCGAGCGGCGAGGGGTGGGGCCAGCGCGGGGAGGAGAGGGAGGGGGTTGTGGCGAGCCCGCCCGGCCAGCCAATGAGTGGCGCGCGCGCGTGCGCGGCCGGCCAATGAGGAGCGCGCGCGTGCGCGGGGCGGGGCGGCGCTGGGCGCGCGTCGCGGGCTGAGGCGGAGGGACGGGGCCAAGATGGCGGCGCCCGTCCTGCTGCGGGTGTCGGTGCCGCGCTGGGAGCGGGTGGCGCGGTCCGCGGTGTGCGCCGCCGGCATCCTGCTGTCCCTGTACGCCTGCCACCTGGAGCGCGAGAAGGGCCGCGACAGCCACTACCAGGCCCTGTGCGACCTCAGCGAGCGGGTGCGCTGCTCCGCCGCCATCACCTCCAGGTGAGGCGCGGGTGGGACCCGCCGCCGCCCCCGCGGGGGGAAGGGGCTGAGGGCTGCGGGAGCGGTGGGGACGGGTCCCGGAGTGCTGCCTCCCGTCCCTCGGGGGGTGCTAGGGGCCGGGCCGGTGCTCGGAGGGGCTGCGGGCCGGGCGGGGGCACGGAGGGGCCGGGGCCGGGGGCAGCGCTCCCGGTGTGGGGCAGCCCCGCGGCGGGAGGGCCGCTGTGGGAACGGGGATTTTCGGGATCGCTGCGGCTGGAGGGTGAGGCACCCGCAATTGCTGTGTTGTAATCAGTGGCAATTAGGTGGAGTGACAGGCGTTTTAGTGGTAAAAGCTCGGGAGAGAGGAGTGCTGTAGCTGTGAGCAGTGGTTAAGGACAACATAAACAAGTGCGATTGCGGGTGGTTGGCTTTGTTAGCTTTAATTGCAGTATCTGTATTGCGTTTTCATTGGGACATCTCCTGGCAGCACGGGAGATGCTTTGGTGATCCAGAGGAAGTGCTTCATTCAAGGGAGACTTGGATGCCTCTGCAGCACAAGCCCAGTCCAAATCCTGACTTATTTTGCAGATGTCCAGCCAGTACAGCAGTTGTTTTCTAAAGGCCAAGGGCTCTTGTTTCCGTTAGGAGAGTCATTGTATAAATCTGGTTCTTGAGCAAATCTGTGTATTAAATCCTTCCTCTTTATTTTAATGAGAATTTTGTTGTTATTGTGTTAGTGTCTTCAGCTCAATGAGTACTTGAGATTTCCTTTTTTCCCTCTCAGTATAACCTGTGCAAAAGCTGTCACAGTTTTTATAGAGGTACTTGCTGTATCATCATAACAAGCCAGTTTGGGGGAGTATTCTCATTCTCTGTCAAGCTGTGAAATTTTTGAGGCAAAACCTCCAAGGAGCTCTTTTTCCTAAATCCTCTTCTGTGGTGACAGAAGTGAGATTGTGTGACAGAAATCTGGATCTCTGGTCACCTGATATTGTGGTTGAGTGAAGGCTTTAACTCTGCTTTTCTGTCTGCCTCAGGTCACCTTTATTTGTGAAGGTGCTTGTTCATGTCTCTGCTTGGAAAGTGGCCTGAAATGAGAAGTTTGACTCTAACTAAGGAGAAAACGTCAATAAACTCACCAGATAAATTCAAATAATATGAATTAAATCATGCTTAGGCTACTGAGATGAAACCATGTGAGTCTCGTCAGGAATTTAACTTTGATCACAGATACAGGGTAAAAAGAGAATAACAGAGGTCGAAGCCTGTTCTTGTGTGGAATTGGTCCTCCAACAGCTTTTTGTTGTTGCTGATGTGACAGGGAATTGGATGTCACAGTTTTGATGCGTGTTTACTGAATACTTGGGAGCAGGAAATTACCTAAAGATATAATTGGAATTATTTCTAATTATGGAATCAAGCTCGGTAATTACAGTGTTCATTAGCAATGCTGCAGCTGACACGTTGAGTAAGACCTGGGAATCCTTTGCTGGAGGAATTCTGGAGGATAATGTGAGGAGTTAGGGATAAAATGCTCTCAGATCTCCCAGCAGTTGCTAGGAGAACCATGCCTGGAGTGAAGCACTGCAAATGCCAGGAGAGCTCGTGATCGTTGGAGCAGGTGGTGAAAGGAGTTTGTGGAAAAGAAACGTGCAAGTTCTGTTCACTCCAACCATATTTGGAGAAGAATTTGCTTTCCAGGCTGTGCAGGACACAGAGGGGGAGTTCTGCTTTAAAAGTGAGACAGGAGGGCAAGGCATTAAAGTTGGAAAGAAATTAATCTTATTTTCCACGTTGCCACAGCTCCCCATCCATTGTTCTCTCACTTTCTCCAGCTGAGTGTTCCTTGTTCCCACATCACCAAAAGTTTCTCAGGAACTTCATTTCTAAAAGGAACTTTTAACCACACTTTAGATTTCACTGGGGTTGTAAAGTTTCAATTTTGTGTTCCAGCTTTTTCACAGGTAATTCAGATTTAACTGTCACATTTCTCATTGAGCTGTTACACTGACAGTCAGAAATTATTGATTAGCTAATTATTAGAGTTAACTCTGCAGAGTTAACTGGGTGAGAAACTTCTGTTTCTACTTTGGATTTTAGATGGGTCCTTGGGTTATGTGACTTTTCATTTAAACTGGATTTGCTGATGGAATTTGGAATGTTGCAATCTTCACATCTTGAGCTTTGACTCCAAGAGTGGGCTGAACTTTAAAAAGCACTTAATGCTGTTAGGATTCATTTGAAATGCATAGAATAATTAGAATAAATTAGTTTATTCCTTCCTGAGCTGACTTTCTGGTATTTTGGGTGGAGTTTTTTTCACCAGCTGTTGGTATTTCCAAGTCTTGCATTTAAGCCAGATCTGGCACTGGCACAACAGCAAGAACAGAAATGTAAAGACTGCCAGCATGCAGAGGGAGGAGCACAGAAAATCTCCTATCAGAGCCTGACTCATGCAGAGGGTTATGTTGGAGAGATCCCTTCCCAGTATCCCTTACCCAAAACATGAATGGTCAGCATATTTCAAATTTTTATCAAGGGGAAAGTTCATGAAATAGTTTAAAAATAAAATTTGCTAAGGAGTGGCTGATAATGGCAAGTATTAGGGCAATACCTCACATCCATGGCAATTGCTGTATTTATTTTAAATTAATTGCTGTCTGATAGTTGAGAATAATTGTCAAGAATGGCTTTATTTATAAATAAGCTGGCTGGTTTATAAATTGGCTACTTTATAAACTGGCTAATAGTTTTGGACTGAAAAATACTTTTGGTCTTGCTGTATTTTCACAGTGGGAATTAAAGTGATAAAACACATTTCAAGTCATACAGGTCATGCTACAGCTCGAAATAAAATGTGACCTTTAAGTGCTAATGCAGAGACCCAGAGCCTTTGGCTTTGGCCTTTTCCATGCCCTGAGAGATTTTGGGATCTTCTAGTACTTTTTTCCTTTCTGTCTTGATGAATTGGAGATTGCTGGAGGATAAATTAGTGGCTTAGAATGACTTTAGCAGCCTGGCATGCATCGATGAGTGCTGCAGGAGAGCCTCAAGACAGCAGCACAAACGAGCAAAGGGCACCTGTGTATCTTTAGCAATATTTGCGGCTGCGTCAGTGAAGGGGTTTGGCAATAGTCAATATTGATCTTTGCCTGATTGCTGAAGGAGTTCTAGAGTCAAAATGGCATTTTGGGAACCTGGCTGTCATTGGTATTCTAGGAATTCCCTGTTCTGTTCGTGGGCAAAGTCTTGGATTGGTGTCGTGTTTGAGGCACTTTGAAAAGCTGTGGAAAAGTCTGGTGTGACAGAATGGTTTGGGCTGGAAGGGACCTTCAAGGTCATCTTGTCCCAGCCCCTGCCATGGGTGGGGACACTTTCCTCTATAAAAGCTGCACATCCACCTTATGTTTTCTGTGGATGCACCAAAATATTCACCTGGTAGTTCCTGAAAATGCCTGTTAGATGTGGGGTGTGTTGTGGGCAGGTCTGACAGGGTGGCCTGTGCAGCTGTAGTGTTATTGTGTGGTTCTGCTCACATTCATCAGTCACTTTAAACACTGAATTTACACCCGGTGTGTTCTCTTTGGTTGTTTGTGCTGGTGCAGAGCTGTTCCTCTGCAGAGTGGGTGTGAGTTGCTCTAAGAACTGCAGGTGAAACTGCCCCGTGCTGGTTTCTCAGCAGAGCACACCTTGCTAGAACTGTTCTGGTGCATCTTTACAGGGATCAAAGTGACAAGAACAACCCCATTGTCCAAGGAAATGGGACATGGAGAAGACTTCCCAGACCTCCCTAAGGTGATGCTTAAACAGGTTCTGTTGTGAGGCAGTTCCTGTAAACTTCTGGTCTGTCAAGTTTGCTTAATTCCAAGTAAAGAACATTATGTGGCAGTTATTCATATTTAGAATAATAAATTCCTGATATCCCAGGAGTTCTTTTCATTGCTGTACCTGCAAGCAGATATCCGGTTATGTTTGAGGCTTTCAGCTGCTAGTGTTAGTGACTGCTGTAAGGTGCTAGGAGATGAAAAAGGGATTCTGGATTGAGTGTGTTTGCTGTCTAAGGGGAGCTTGGAAAATCTCTGGTTTGGATTTGGGCAGGGAGAAATTGGAGGAGCCAAATTCAGTGCCACAGGGGAGGGGAGGGAAACCCAGAGTCATTCCTGGGCTGAAGGGAAACCCTGCCCTGGGAGCCAAGGTTCTCTGTCCCTTGTCCCCAGCTGGGCTGGCACTGTGCAGAGGGCTCAGGACTGGCACAGGGGGAGCAGAGGGTGTGAGCTGGGAGGATCCAGAGCTGATTCCGTGGGCTGGAGAGGGGAGGTGTTCCAGGAATGCTGGTAGAAACCAGCTTGGAGTTTTAAAGTTGCTCTTAAAGCTGAAGAAGCTGATAACTCAAGTATTTTGTTGTTTGTTTTTTTGGTTTTTTTGTTTGGTTTTTTTTTTTTAAATTTTATTAATTTTATCTTTCTAGTATAAAATTGATGGTTTAATACTGATACAACACTTATTGACTGAGGCACATCTTTTATAAAACACAGCAGTGCCCCTGCTGTGAGAATCTTTTATTTTCCATCCTTACAGTGCTCACACAAACATGTTAATTTTTGCTTTTCATAAATATATGATTTCCAGCTTGGCTGGAATTTGTAATAGGGCTAGGAATTATTTTGCCTGGTGCAAAGTAGATTTAACAAAGTGCTTATAATTCAGATTTGGGCTCCATTTATGGTAGCTTAATAGAAAATATTATTAAGGAAGGAATAGAAGGAGTCAGTCCTGTTGGCTTGTATTTTAAATAGCCAGTGCTTCTGTAAAGGCTGCTATAAAATAATTATCCTCTGTCTGCTTAATATTTTGCTGATCTAGACACTGAGAGTTGTTACAGACTCTATCTGAAGCAGAGCTGGAGGATATATAGAAGAAAACCTCATTTGGTTATGCTAAATGCTGCTAATAGATTTAAACATGAAATTAAGTGTATCAACATTTTTGAGCACTCCTGGCAAGTTTACAAATGGGAATTTTTAATCTTCTTTTTTGTGGCTTCTAATTGAAGGCTTTTACTTAATTTATTAAAACTGTTAAGAGTGGCCTTGAAGCCGTGAATTAGATTTAATCTAAAATCCTCTGGTGAAGCTGGAAAGAAGTTGCAACCAAAGTTTCTTAACATGCTCCAGATCCTTTGACCTTTATATGAGCTTTTTACTGAAGGCAGGGGGTGAGCTCTGCTGTCTGAGAACTTTCACTCTGGACCAGAAATTATCTCAGAAGTCCAATGTTGCTTAAGGAAATGTGCACCTCACTTATCAAGTGTAGCCTTTTTTATTTTTTGTTTTTGATAAAATTAGATTTATTGTTTCCTCTAGGTTACAAAGTGGTAAGGGGTGCTTGCTGTTGATAACAAAATAATGATCATGGGATGGTAAATAATCCTGAAATGAGAGGAAATAACTACTGCTTAAATAACTACTACTACCCAAAAACCACCCAAATTTGAGTTCTTTCCTTGCAGCTTGAGTCCAGAATCTTTGTTATTGTTTGTCCTTTTGCACCAAATCCAACAACTGAGAGAGAATTCTGTTGGCAACTGCTGCTGCACAAATGCAGAGATTGGGGATCAGACAAGCCTGTGAATAATCTGGTCCCCTGGAGGATTTGATTGCATTTCCAAGCAGTCCCTGAGGACACTGGGATGAGAGCTGGGAATTGTCCTTTTTTCAAGGCATGCTGGACCTGCCCTGAGCCAGTGTGGTTCTTTCCATGTTAGAATGGAAATACAGGGGTTACTTCAGTTCTGGGCATAAAAACCAAGGGGGTTGCCAGGTGAAAGGCAGGGGATGTGATTCTGCTCATCACCAGGGGTGGTTTTGAGGTCAGTGCTCAGAAAGCACCTGGGACATCCAGGAAGGCCTCAGGGGAGGCTGCCAAGTGCTGGTGCAGGTGAACCCCCAGTTTCTGATCCTTAAGGACAGTGGAGGCCAAGGAAAGATCATTCTTGGGGCATGATCTTTGACAAAACTGTTCAAAACATCTGCAGGCAACTGTCAGAGCTGGGGCTTGGCTACAGAAACACTCCAGCATTTCTTACAGGGGCTGCAGGGAACACTGATCCAGCTGCTGGCTAAATAAACATTTTCTTGTTGGTTTGTTTGACTTGGTGGGTTTGGCAGGCTTGGAATTCCGCTGCTTTTGGAGCCAGTGCTGGCAACTCAGAGCTTGTGACTTGTTAAACTGGAAGGTTGTTTGCTTGTCCTCTACAATGTTGGAGATGCTGGTGGACTAAAAGAGGTTTTTGTGTTCCCTTTTAGCATTTTCTCTGCTAAATTATGCTAAAATGTTTCAAGTGGGTCCCCTAATATTCTGTTCTGGAACATAGAGGATGTTCATAATTGTGCAAAAGAGATTGAAATTATTTTAGTGATGTAAAAGTGTAAGATTTTATTGGAGGTACATCACTTGTGGAGCACAGTGACCTCAGTTCTTTTTGTCTTCCTGTTAAGAAGTAACAATTGCAGACAAATACTGCTTTAAACTTCTGAAAATGCAACATTGCTGAGCTTTGTGAAGTACCTCAAACCAAAAGGGGCATTGTTTAGAGGGTGGATAATAACTTTTAAAACCTCCTTTTGATAAAAGACAGTGAACATTGGACTGAAAGTCACTGCAGTGTTCAGTTGTAGATGTTGGGAAAGGATTCATTTTTGATTTCTTGAAACACTGTTTAACATTTTGGAGAACATTCAGAGTGGTACATGCAGATAGAGAGGGAAACTGAGTTACAAAGATGTCTTAAAGGTTTGTTCCTTGTAATTAGCTCAGATTGCTTTTGATTTTAATAACAGTGAAACTCGGGTGTGGTGAAAGTGGGTTTGGCACCTGTGTGTGTCAGAGTGCTCTGAGTCACCTCGGGTGACAGCGACCTGGATCTGAGCACGGAGCTCCTGCTCCTCAGGGATGGAGCCACCAGGCAGAGCCAGGAAAAGCTTGCAGAAATCAGGCTCTGCTTTTACCTTGCTCTGCAAGCAGCTCTGTATGTCCTGCAGGTCATTTTGTTTAGCATTCTGTATATAAAAAAAAAAAAAAAAAATGCAAATGAAAACACTTCTTCTAAATGACCTTTTTTTGTAAAGTGCAGGTTACATTAAATACTTCCAAGTTTATTTTTTGCAGCTTATCTTGCTATTAGGACTTTCTTCTTGCTATTTGTTTGCCATATTTTTTTAGACTTTGAAAGTTATCATTAATCAGGCAATTCACACCTGAGTCTGGTGTGAAAATGAACGCTACTCCGTTTTTATCCTTCCTTCACTTGCTGGCAGAAGTTCCTGGTTCATTGTGAGTTTTACAACATTAATAAAATTAGGAGACAATTTAGACTTTTCAGCAGGGAAATGGGAGTATGCAAAGTAAATATATTAAGTCTAAATACTTTGCTTTTCAGTTTGCTGCAGAACACTTGCTCCCACTCCAAACCTTATAAGGCTGGGAAAAGTGTTCTGTGCTAAACCCCAGGCTGCTTAGCTGTCTCCAAGTGTGTGGAATAAGATGTGAGATTAGACCTGGACTCCATGGGCTGAAATGTAATACTTGATGTCCTCAAAGCTGCTACAAGGCCAACAAGACACTTAATGAACTCCTGCATGTGGAAAAAGCTTTCCCTGTGCTCTGACCTTGCAGCTCTGCACAGATCACTCCAGGACTCTGACTCCTGGGAAGGGCTGGAACTCATTATCCTTCCTCTGGCAACATTTTATTATTCTCTTGCAGAACAGCTGCAGGGTCAGGTTTTGTAAAGTGCCATTTCTGATATTTTAAGCTCGAGTTTGCTCTCAGACATCACAGGATGTGATGAACATCAGAAGTGAGAGCACTCAGGTAGGGCTGGATTCAGCATCCTGCATTTGGTTGGAGTTAGGCTGATGCTGAACCTTTGCCCACTTTGGGTTGTGCAGGAAAACCTGAGTGTGTTCAAATCATTCTAATGTCAGCCTGCCATAAATTCTCACTTGGACACCAGAACAATACACTGAACCTGTGGATGGCAGGCTGAAGCACCTATAAATGTAATAATACAGGAAAATAAATATAAACTATTCCATGTAAAAATGATAAATTCTTTAATGTACTTGTGTGGCTCTTTAATACAGCCTTTGGAATTTGGACAACACAAGACAATTGTTACATGTGCTGTGACCATCTTATCAAAGGAAGGCTAAAAAATTAACAGTTCTCACTTAAAATCCAGGTAACATTTGAACTGTGGGAGGAAATCTCACCATCACTGAGATTCTTTGTAATTCTTTGTAACTTCCATAGCCCCAGAGCTGCCCTGGGGTGAGAGCAGAGAGGCAGGCAGTTCTGCCCTGCTTTTCCTGGCAGCTCTGGGGTGCTGAGGCTCTGTCCCCTGGAAGAGCATTGTGTGTGCTGCCTTGAAGCTTATTATTGGCACAAAAGTTTCAGTTTTAAAAGATTTGAGACCAAACTAGCTGAAAATATGTTTAATTTTTAACTGTTTATACAGTAAATCTGCTTTCTAAGAATTGTGACCTGCTGGGTTTCTTGGGGAGAAGAGGATAAGATTATTAATAGTAAATTCAAACTTAGTCTGCAATTAAAATAATGAGTTTTGCACAGATGGCTGTGAGACTACCGAGTGTTTTGGAGATGATATGAAATTGTCCTCATTGTGGTGCCTCTTTCTGTGAGAAAACTGCTGTGATGTGGTGGTGGCAGGTCCCAGGTGAGTGACATCAGCACCATTCCTGCCTTGTGCAGGGACACACCTGAGCTGTGGCTTGGTTCAGCAGGGCCATTGCCTCGAGGACAGGAAACTTCCTGAAAACTTCACTTTGCTTGGGGTTTCCTGCTGCAGCAGGATGAGGATTGGCACTTTTTCACCTTGCTCAGTTAAGCTGCTAATGTGAAGCAAACCTTACATTTGTTTGCTTGGCTTGATGCTCCAAAAATCTGCTGGCAGATATCCCAGTGTGCTTTTGTGAGTTAAATTACCTTGGAGGAGCAAAATAACTTCATATTTTCAAGTGACACTAATAAATAGGGTTCTCACTTTGCTTTTACAAATAATGGCATGATCTGCCTTAGGGCATGGAATTAATGGTTTCTGGCACAAACACAATTGCTAATTTAATCTTTCCTCCTCCTTTTGCAGCAGCAGTTTTGTAGGGCTTGTGCTGCTTTCTGCCTTATCACTGGAAAGTTGAAAGTCACTTTGTAGGGATTTCAGGTGTTGGTTCAAAGTGTCACACTGCAAGAGCTCCAGCAAACAAGGGCTGGGGATCTTGTGATGGTGCCATCCTCAGCTCGCGTGCTTGACAGATTTGGGTTCCTCCTGAGCTGTTTGAGGAGCAGCTGAGGTACAGATTTATGCCCTGGTTCTCCTGCTCTGATGCACACAAGTGAGTGGAACAAATCCTTGCCTCAGCTTTGTGGTGACCTTCTGTCTGACTGACTGTGGTGCAGAGAGCTGCTAAAGCTGTCACTGGGGGAAGGAAGTGTTCCTGTGACAAAACAGCTCCAAATTCCAGCCCTGGGAAGCAGAGCTGGTGTTCAGGGAAGTTCCAGCTGGGTGAACTTAGCAGTTCCTGGTGTGTCAAACAACTTTAATCAGCAAGGTGTGGGATAAAGCTGTGCCCAGTGCTCCCCCTGTTGCTGCTTGGTTTTCCAGTCATGTCAGAATATGTGTCCTTTTCTTTCCCCAACAGCCCTGAACTGGAAATGCTGCTGGAAAGCAGGAGGTGGCCAAACAAGAGTTAATTAATTTCCCTGTTTTACAGATGGGGTCGAGGATTCGGTCTCTTGGGTTCCATCTTTGGAAAGGACAGTGCAATAAATCAGTCAAACAGTGTTTTTGGCCTGGTGTTTTATATACTACAAATGCTACTTGGTAAGTATTCATTCAGTTCAGAGCCTCAAGTGTAAAGCAGGGCTGTGGGGATGAAGGAGGGCAGCAAAATCCATTGCACAATCTGCAGCAAACCAGATAAATGCTTCTGATTTTTATATCTTGGGGTTTTTTTAGCAGCACTCTAATGATACATCTGTCCAAAGGGCTTAAAAACCCAACTGATAACAAGAGTAATTGCATTTTCTCCTGATATGCTATTAATAATCCAAGTGTGAAGACAGTTTCTGTGCTGGTATTTTCACTCCAGTATATTTGGCATTGGATTGCATGGTGGAAAGAGAGGGAATAAAAATGGAATGGGCAAGTTTTGGAGGAGTAATGGAGAGAGCAGGCAAAAAAGTGCATGAAATATAATTTTGTATATTTCTTGTTAACTCTGTGGTTTGCTACAAAGCTGTTAATCCTGACAGAAATAACTTGACCACAAATTTTCCTATAACTCAAGAATATGAGGATGGTTAATCCTACACACACTCCATATCACAGACAGAGCCTTAGCTACTCCTCTCCAAATACCCAGGTGGTATTTTAACCAGAATTTTGTGTAACTGTTGCTGAGTGGCTGAGTTTGAATTCAGTTTTGCTCTGTGTGGAGAGGGGTGAGTAACTTTGTCTCTCTTGTTGCAGGTATGACAGCAAGTGCAGTAGCAGCTCTAATCCTCATGACATCCTCCATAGTGTCTGTAGTAGGGTCCCTGTATTTGGCATACATTCTGTACTTCGTGCTGAAGGAATTTTGCATTGTCTGCGTGCTCACATATTTGCTGAACTTCATTCTCTTTATCATCAACTACAAACGACTAGTTTATTTGAACGAGGCCTGGAAGAGGCAACTCCAACCCAAACAGGAATAACCCCTGCTGGAACTTTTGACTGACAGTCTGAAGACCCAACTTCCATTAAGTTTATTTTGCAGTAATTTTTTTATTCTCCATATCAGACACTTTTTGCCCCCCTTTCCCCCACAAGAATCATAATGGAAATTTTGAATTCTAAATTTCAAGGGGCCCCAGATAATTTCTCTGTGCTAATCTTCAGTTTCAATGCGGTTCTGAAAGAAAGCTCTATAACAATCAAAGACAAGCTTTAACTTTACTTGGAAGGAGTTTTAGCCACAGCAAAACCTAGACTCTCTCTCTTCCCCTCCACTTGTGAAGTGGGTAACACTTGCTATAAAATATCCTGTATATAAATTCAGGTATAACAAGATGTGATCATGACATGAAATATTCTAGACTAGCATCACCATATTTAATATTGCCATGTTTACAGTAAGTGTATTTTTTTCTTTTTTTCTTTTTTTTTCCCTTTTTTTTTTTTTTAGCTGATGGACTTAGATTTGACTAGGACTTATACTGTAAATAAAATTAGAACTCTTGGTTTCATCCCTGGAGAACTCACTGTCCCATGGGTTTGGTTAGGAGCTGTCAGAGGGTTCAGCTCAGAGTCGACTGACACGATGGAAGAAGTGACCTCCAAAGAACATGGAGCTGCTGCTCTCACTGTTGTGATTTCACAAGAATGATGCAAATTGTTGGGGGTTGTTTTTTTTTTTTTTTTTTTTTTTTTTTTTTTTTTTTTTTTTTTTTTTTGTCTCCAGTAACAAAAATGGAATTAAAGCTGAAACCTGAAGTATGTTGATTAAACGACAACCTCATTAATTTCTGTACAGAACAAAAATAGCTTCATGTGGTCAATGAAAAGCTGATTTGCAGATTGGGGGTTGGATGAAGTGTTCTTTGAAAGGACTCATTTCCAAGCAGAGCTGTTCCATTTGAAGCTGTGCTCAGCCAGCCAGTGTTACTAATGTTTGATGTTCTGTGAATGCTGCAGTATAGAATTGCAATTTGCAGTGGAAACCACTGAGTGAGCAGGATAACCAAGCAGTGCACTGAAAAAGCAGTTCCTTAATTGATCTTGGTCAGGATCTTTGGTTTGTGCTATATTGGGAAATGAACTTTAGGCCTGACACACACACACAGAAGATCTCTTGGAAGGGCAACCTGTTTAATGGGATAAATAAGTCAATGTGCTCCTGAAAATGAAATGTGATATAGTGCTATCATTGCTCTTTCTAAGAACTAATTGGGGAAAAAAAAATATTAAACTGCAGATTTAAACAAAGGAACAAAATTGTACATGTTGTTTCTGCACTCAGTATTCTAAGGCTGAATGTTAAAAGTGCCTTCTGTCTTCAAATCTTAAACCAAATACTTTGTGTTGAACTTGGCAGGCAGAAGTGTCCTTGCTTTAAAAATGAACAAACAAAATTCCCAGCAAACTTGCTGGGGATAGAAGAGTATTAAGAGATCTGGTTTTAGTTTTTAGACTGAGAAGTGGTAGCAGTATTGTTTTCAGTTTAATTTAAAAGCTTGATGTGATTTGGAAAAGTGAAATATTTGTGTTTCAGACTGTGTGACACCAAAATGTGTGGGTTCAGCTACTTTCTATAATTGGTGCTGTGCTGCTTTTTGCCCTTGTCAGTTCGAAATATGAAGAATTCCAACTGCATACCCATTTATTTAAAGAACTAATTTAACTTTTAGCATTTTCATTCTCAAGCATGAATGTCAGAGAGACACTTCCTTTGTAAGTGAATTTTAAACACTAAGGATAAACTTGACTGTGAAACGAGCAGTGTTTCCATAGAGCAAAACAAGGCTGGAGATCGAATTCATAAAATTAATATTTAAATTACTACTGAAGTCATTCAGGTTTATAGCAAGGGTAGAGGTGGAAACTGCTTTTCTGTACAGAGTTGTGTGGTGTGAGTAACATCTGTTGCATGTAACACTAAATGACTTGTCCCTCGTCTGACAGTTTAGCCAACAATCCATTAAATGAGTTTTGTATTGACCAGAGTATAGTTAAAGCTTGTCTTGATGTTTAGTTCTGTCTCTCAAATGCCTTCCACTTTGATATTAAGGGGAATGAGTGATGTTGAATTGGTCCCTCAAGGCTTGGCTTTGTTCCCTCCCAAGCCCTGAGGCAGTAGCAGTGTTTAATGTGTTGTATAGATTTTGTTTTGATGCATTCCTGTGATCTACACTAAAGGCATGTTTTTTTTCATCCAAGGAAGAGGTGAACATGTGCTGCCTCAAAGCTGCTCCTATCTCAGAGCCAGCAGCCATGGAGACAAGTCTAATCCATGAGTACTTGGTCCAATTTCTGTGAAAAAAAAGAGGAAAAAAAGCCCCATCAGCTGAAAGTATTGGTGTTGACTTAACTTCACTGTGTCTTGTGCTTGTTTGTGTGGGCATAGTCTGTTGATTGAGTTTGTTTAGTAAAAATGTTTAGGGCCAGATTTTCAGCAGTCCTTGTTAGTGTGCACATAGGGAGCAAATGGAGCTGGAGTTTGGGCTCTGGGAGAATTTGCAGCCACACTTTGTGCACAGCTTTGCAAATCTGATCCTTAATTGTGAGCTCTCTTGTCTTGTGTGCTTCCCTTGCAGTTACTTTTTACTGGAAGTGATTTGCTAGAAATGGCCCTGATTTCTTCTGTTTCTCTCTCGTGCTTCAGAAATGCAGTTGGCCTGATAAAGGGCAGAGTAATCTTAGCAGGAGAAATTTGGACTTTTCTGCTTCCAGTTCTTTGGACTCTTTCCTTGCTGCTCCCAGTGATAGAAACAGCATCTTCCTTCCAGTAAAATGGGTTGTGATTGAAATCAGGAGTGCAGCTGTGCCCCCCGCCTGCCCCAGCCAAAATGTGGTGGCAAATGTGTGCTTGATACTGGTTTTACCCTTACAAATCCAAAGGCAAATCCTAAAATTTCTCAAGGATGCAGGAGTCTGGGTAAAGGCAGGTAAATGGTATTTGGGCTGGCAAGAGACAGGGGGTGTTACAGAGATCCTCGGTGTGGTTTCAACACTCAGGAGAATGGAAGGGATAAAATTCACAGTATCCAAACAGAGGTTCTGAATTTGGGCTCGTCCTGCCCCTCTTTGGCTCTCTCAGAATCCCAAAATTCCTATAGGATCATGGAATATTCTGAGTTGGAAATTTCACAGTGAGAGGTGGATTGGAAAGGCAAAAAAACCTCATCCCAAACCCTGCTTAGGAATTAACCATTCCTGAAATCCTCTTACTGTAAGGTACTTGCTACTCTTTAGGACCAAGGAGGAAATGAATATTCTTGGAAGTTTCTTCCTGTGAAACATTTGTGACACTGAGGCCAATGAAACATTCCTGAGCACCTTTGAGATGTGAAGTGACAGCAGATCTCTGGTGAGGAGGTTTCTCAGTGCTGGAGTTGGCATTTTTGTGCTGCTGTAGTCTCAGCTGTTCCAGGAGGTTGGTGAGGTGCTTCAGGCAGTTCTGCTCCTGATTTATGTGGGCTGAGATCAGAGCTTGGCTTTGGTTCTGCCAATGTTGTTTAAACTGGTCCAGAAAAGATATGAAGTGTTCTGTTACCACAAAACTGTGTTAAGCATGGCCTAAATATTAGGTGTTTGTTCTGTATAGTATGTTCCATCAGCTATTTATTCCCAGTGCTTTCAACTCCAAATCCCACACCCATTTAAAATGGAGTCATTGGGCAGATATTCCTTTTCTCAATATAGGCTGAGAGATTCTCTACTGGAGGTTTAGGATACAATTTTGCTAACAGGTAAAAAACCATGTAAATATGTACCAATTCTATTTGTTGCACATAACTTTTTTGGTATAAAAAAAAAGAAAAAAACCCAACAAAAATAAATGTAGAAATTACCTGTGGATGTCTTGCTGCAATCATTCTTATGCTGCATTCATGCAGTCCAAACATAAGAGCTTGAATGAACCCAACCAGAGGCCTTTTTGGACTCAGTCTGAGCCTTAGAAACTGTTTTTAATGTCAGTACTGTAATTCTGTTTCTAGAAATTGTACCAAGTCGTGTGTTTTTTTGTTTTTTTGTTTTTTTTTTTTTTTCCAAGACCTTGTGTGTGTTTAGCAGTAGAAGGGTTAAAGCACTTGATTCTCCCCAGATCCCAGTTTTCCCAGTAGAATTCCTGCAGCTTTGTGTCTGGCTGAGCATTGTGTGTAAAGGCTGAGCAGCGTTGACTTGAGGCTTTCAATGTTTACAGTTCTTTAAGCAAAAAAAGAAACAAAAAAAAAAACAACCCCAACCTTGTGATTTTTATCACTTTCTGCTTTATTGGGGCTGCTCAAAGCTGGTCCCACAGACCACAAAATCCCTGGAAAAACTGCTGGATGTGTCCCTGGATTTGGAGAGGGAGCTGCTGGGCAGGGTTGGGTTTGTTGAGAACAAGCAGGAATTAACCCTCAAATGTGTGCTCAGATTTTGGGGGGGCTGAGCTGAGCCCTGGTTTGTAAGGAGTGACCAATGTCAAATCCTCATCTGTGTTTTGGTCAGGTCTGTTGAAACTGGGGAAGAAAATGAGTTTTTGAAGGATGATGGAGAAGTTCAAATGACTTTCAAACACTGCTAGTTGGCAGTACCATGTGTGTTTGAACAAATGTCTTTTTATTGTGCATAGAGTTTTATATTCTGGGGGTTTAGTTCTAGAGAAAATCTAGGCCTAGCACGGTGTGAGGAATGCTGTAGTGTTGTTTCTTTTTGCTTAAAAACACAAGAAAAATTGTTGTGGAGTCTGCAGTGAACATCTGTGTCCTTATTCTGCAGGACAGGGTGGAAGGTGCTGTTGGTTCCTCGTGTACCACCTCTGAAGGGAACAGAATTTGGCCAGCACACAAGAGAAAAGCAAATCTTTCCTTTATATGGTCAGATTTGGTCACTTCCCTGAGGCACTCACAGAGGCAGCTGCAGAACAGGAGTCATGGCACCAGTTTCACCCAGAATCTCTAAATTCCAGTAATCAAACTCCAAATTGTAACTTCCCAAATGCATTGGGCAGCCTCTGCTTTTGTTCTTCTGCTCCTTGTGATGCTGCTTTTGGGGCAGTGCTGGGAAGTTTGCAGACTAAATATTCTGAGTTTTGCTGTGGGTGCTGGTGTGATCCACGCCAGGCTAAACCTGGCCTAGGCTGGTGTGCAGGCCTAAAGGGACACCACTGAAGCAGCACAGGGATTTCCACCTGGCCCTGCCCCAGAGGGCTTCAGGCCACTCTCAGAAAAGTCTGGAACAGAATTTCCCTCTGGGCTGCTCTTCCTGTGCTGATATTTAATATGAAGGAAGCCCTTCCACATGGAAGTGGCATTGTTGGACACAGTTTGTGTCTGACAGTGGCAGTTTTGGTACTGTAAAATAAATAGATTTCAAGTTGAGTTGATGTAGTCCCTCCCTCTGTAACATTCCACCTTGCTGCTGGAACAGGAATTCCAAACTCTCTGTTGGAGTATGTTGGGTGGCTCACACCCTTCCTGGCTGCTGGGAATGCTCAGGATTTCTCACACATCCATCCTGTCAGGCCAGAGCAGCTGCACAAACTGTGCTCCTCTGCAATCCTGTGGACAGTTTGCTGTGATCTCAATAGTCTTAACTCTTAGGGGAGTTTAACTGGAAAACCTCATTTGCTTTAGAGGGATGTGATGTTCATTTAGAGTAACTTAGATTTTAAGTTCA